AGGAGCTCCTGTTTTCCTATTCTGTTCTATTATCATAATATCTGACTGCCTTCATGTAGTGAAGTGACCTAGCTAACCTCTGTCACATGTAGTTTGTGCTTTCTCTCCCTAGAGGAGAATTGAGTACATTGATGTTGGAGAAAGGAAATGTGAAGAAGTGTGTTTTACACTTGGAGCATGAAGTGGAAAGGGGCTTGCTTCCTAAGGGAGTTCGTTTCATAGCCTGAGGCAGGGGTAGGCAACGTTTTTTGGCCAGAGTGCTGAAAAAACCACAATGTCTACCTTGGAAAGTGCCAGAGTGCCCATGTGCCGGAGCCTGGAGCAGCTGTTTGCAGCCTCCCATCTGCAGCCGGCCTACAGAGCCCAGTCTGTTTGCAGCAGGGCTTGCAGACTCCCAGTTGCCTGCTGGGAGCAGACTGGGCTTTGTGGCTGGTAGCAGCTGCTTAGAGCCCGGGCTGGCAGTGGTGTGCCGAGCAAAATGACCTTGTGTGCCATGCTCGGCATGCGTGCCAGGGGTTGCTGACCCCTGGTCTGAGGCTTAGTTTATACTCATTTGGTTCTAGCAGCACAAGTTCTAGCAGCAGATAACAGCCATCACCACCATAGTACAAGCATGTCCCCAAGCTGCTGGTGGCTTTTTGTGGTTTCTCTGCAGCTGTCATGTCATGAGAGTACGAAGTATATACTGGGAAGGCACCAGCTACTGAAAGGACTGATTCAGCCAACAGAAAGCGCAAGAATCTTTCACTTCTGAGAGATGGTACAACTCTGCTGGGCTTATGAAGCTTTACAGGAGTTCTGTGTGTTTCTGTGCTCAAGGCTTTGCTAGCAAATTCAGAGCTGAAAAACAGATTTTCACACAAGGCACAATATGACTGTCAAATTTGTTGCTATGTGAAATCACTGAGGCCAAGAACTCAGCAAAACTCCAAAAGGGGAAATGTTTTGTACCAGAAGTTTTTGCTGCGATGCTAAGGGTCATGCTTCAGGGTTTAATTTCATCTCTAACTTTCAGGAATTTAGAATGAAATCTAAAGAAGAGGAAGATTATCCCACCACTGCCTGCTGTAGGGCTGTTACAGCTGCCTCTGAAGAATTTGGTGCTGGCTCAAGACTGGATACAGGAATAGATTGACATCAGGCCTAATTTATTGTGGTAAATCATGTGTGCTCCTAAACAAGATCCATTTTTAGAGTGCTCACAGCCACAGTAATTAAAATAACTTATTTTTTTTCTTGTTAAAAGAGCAAATGTTATACGAAGGTGGAGGAGAGAGAATAAACTTTTTTCCCACCAGTTGCAGGAAATCACTTCCCTGGCCAAAACTTCACAAGCTAGAACAGAACTTCAGTTGAAATTCCACACCTGCAATTCTGCAAGCAAACATTATGTGCACATAGCAACGCACTCCACAGTAGCTGCAAAGCAGAACTGATACCTTTTCTTCTATTCAACACACAAAAATAGAACGCCCAATTTCTGTAGTCCCCTTTACCAAAAAAACAAACTGTCACAGGGCACTAGAGGATTAAAAATTAAATCAACCTGAAAACATGACCAACCTTTCCCATTCCTCGCAGGTATCAACAAGCACCAAATTCTAAAAAAACAAGCATCAAATTCTAAAAAAATGATAGAAATCAGTGGGATATCTTTTATTAGAGCAACTAAATAGTTGGAGAACTTGTTCTTTGCAAGCTTTTGGGCACCCTTCTCCAGGCATATAGAGTCTGCCTGAAGAAGGGTGTGTGTGCCTGAAAGCTTGCAAAGAACAAGTTCTCCAACTGTCTGGTTGCTTTAATAAAAGATATCACATCTACCCAAAGAACCTCATCTGCCTGTGTTCTTAGACCAGCGCGGCTACAATCAACAACCCTACAAAGTACCAGAAATTTGTCTACCAAAGAACATTAAACATATAGATAAAAGGCCTTGGGGGCTGCCTGCTTTGTAGCTTTTGTCATTCAACCACCAGGGGTTCTTTGCACTCTTT